GTATAAAACTAATTCATTTTTTGGATCTAAACGTGCTATGAAAAGTAGTCAGTGTTAAGGCATTTTAATTTTGCATAAAGTTGACCGTTAACGTCTTTTTCAGATGTTTAAATGTTCATCGGGGATAAACTAAACTACTGCCAAACTCTCTCTGCCATTATCCGGCCTGATTATGGGTATCAAGTTGTTGTTCCTTGATTTCTATTGTCTGGACTGTCCCATTAATAGCAAGGTCTTGTGACGCCTTTCTTTGAAATTCTCTTTTTCTACTGACGCGTCACAACCTGAGTTACGTCCTTTCTGCTGTCCTTCAGCTTAGCCAACACACCAGTGTACTGTTCTTAACGCATCAGTTTCACTCTTCATTCCTCTGTTGAAAAACAGGCCAGATGTGGTGGCCCACGCCTGTAATCCCAGCCCTGGGCAGGCTGAGGCAGGAGGATCGCCAAGAGTTCAAGACCAGCCTGAGCTGCATAGCGAGACCTTGTCTCAAAAAAACTAAATAAATACATCCATGCAGGCCTTGGGGATGTACCTTAGTGGTAGAGTGGTTGCTTAACACGGTGATGCTGAACCTATTAGAGCTTTTGATGATGTCAGTAGCCCACCGCAGCATGCGTGCCATAGGTTCGCCACCACTGAGAGCAAGGCTCCGAATATGATCCCCAAGTGGGAAAACAAAACAGAAAATTTGAAGAGCCTTGATCTTTTATTTTTTATTTTTTATTTTTTTTGGTTTTTCTCCGGTACCAGGAACCGAACTCATGACCTTGCGCTTGCCAGGCAGGCACTTTTGCCACTGAGCTAAATCCCCAGCCCCCTGAGCCTTGATCTTTTAAAAGCAGCAAAACGTACCAGCGTATTGGTTAGGGTTTCCTATAGTCTTGTCAGTTCACTAATTCAGCCCTATTCCCACCACTTTGGATATAAATCATGTGTATCAGTCATCGTATAAGCCACTCCTGTGACGTGATGTTTTGAACGCAGGGCCGTGCACGTACCGGGGAGCGCTTTCCTGTGAGCTGCAGCCCTGGCCCTCTCTCTGAGGTCTCTCCATCAACCTTGTCCCCTCAGAGAACGCTCTTGTCCCACTCCTTCCCCGAGGCCTGCACATTTTTCTGAATCCATTGTAGACTACCGCCTCAAAGGATATTTCTAAGCTTCACTGGCTTTATCAGTATCTTTTTTCAAAATCATTCAGTATTTAAGCATTTAGTACATTTATATTATGCTTTATTGTTATCCTTTTCTGAGAGACCTAAATGTTCTTTGCCCAACAAAATAAATAGTTTTTTTAAGAGCAAATTTTATAGCCTGCTTTTTTTGAGACAGGGTCACACTGTGTAGTTCAGCCTTGAGCTCACTATGTAGCACAGGCTGGCCTCAAACTCACAGCAGTCCTCCTGCCTCAGCCTCCCGAGTGCTGGGATTAAGGGCCGGGTTTAGTGTTTAATCCAACACTAACCATGGTAATTTTCAAGAAATATTTGATTGAAATGGTATTTTTGACTAGGTACAGATACAAAGGTTAGATAAATTAGACACAACAGCAGTCTTATGAGATGATTATTTACGTATCTAGATTGAAAGATGCTTTCTTAAAACCTTGAAGTCAGCTCTTTAAGAATGTTACTCTCTGGGCTGACGTGTAGCGTAGTGATCGGATGAAGGCGTAGGATGCTCAGGGCCCTGGTTTGATCTCCAGCACACACACACACAGCCGGACCTAATTCTTACAGTACAGTTTCTCAGATGTGTCCGGTTCTGCCGCTGTGCGCCTGTGCTCCTTACCTAGTCTGTAGGAAATCACTCCAGCGTCCGTGGCTTCAGACCAGTCTGCAGTGGGCGTCTCCGGGCGGCAGGGAGGGTCCCAGCAGGCTGCAGGCTCACGGGGCGGCCCTGCATGGGCGACCGCCCGGGTGCACTCGGTGTGTCATGCGCAGGCCAGCCCCTCATGCACTGTCGCCCTGAGGCCGCCGTTCTCTGTGGCTGCCACGGAGCCCTGCGTTCCCTGCCCTGCCGGCCTCACAGGACGGCTCAGGCCGGGGTAGTGAGTGACGGAAAGAGCCGCAAAACCATGTGTGTTGGGAGTGACATCTTGTTACTTCTGTCATCGTCTGTTCTTTAGAAGTGAGTTAGTAAATCCATTCTGCACTCAAGGGAAGGGGGTTACAAATGGTTATTAATATAAGCTAAGTGTTTAAATTTTTACAATTGTATAATAAAAGACAGCTGGGCGTGGTGACACACACCTGCAAGTCTGAGGCCAGCCAAGGCTTCGTAATGAGTTCACGGCCACCCTGCACTACATGAAGAGACCCTGTCTCAAACAAACAAACAAACAAAGCCTAAGTAAAATAAAAAGACACATTGCCTTAAGATGTGTTATGTGCGTGTACCAACTCCCAGCAGTGAATGTAATTATGTGCTGCAAACAGGTGCTAATAGAAATTAAAAGATAACATGACACAGGACCATTCATCCTCCTCAGACTGCCCTTCGCTTCCAGCACGCTTATTCCCGCACTCCTGCCATTTCCCGGAGCGTTCTGGAGGTCCTCTTTCACGAGTGTCTGTAAGGTCTGATAAAATCACAGAGCGCTGCCGCGAGGCTCTGTCAGTCAGGCTCGGAAACATCGCAGTGCGTCCTCGTACACCTCACTCGCCAGGACGCAGGCAGCCGCGGCAGCACAGCTAGAGACGCGTACAGGGGGCTCCAGAGCGCCTTCGGAGGACAGCCAGAGGCACGCCCCAGATGACGGGGTATTTTGAGAGGCTTGATTGACAGGGGTCTCAATGTAATACCTTTTTTAAAATTGAGACATTCACCATATTTTAAAAGTATGAGTATCGGGGCTCAGGATCGTTGCGGTCTATCTTACGGGGCTGCGCGCCTTAGCTAAGCTGTTGTTTTGCCCAGAAAACCTTTCCTGCCAGGCGTGGTGGTGCACACCTGTGATCCCCACACCAGAGGCTGAGGCAAGAGGATCGCTGCGAATATGAGGGCGTCCTGGGCTGAGCTACACAGTGAGACTACCTTAAAAAATGAAACAGAGCAGAAGCCTTTTCTGGCCTACCGGAAGAAGTTGCTCACCTGAGTCTCCCAGTGTTCGCTGTGCTCCTGATGCTTGCACTTCAGCGTGTACGCGTGCGTGCAGGGGCACTCAGTGTCCGCATCCTGACCCAGCAAGCGTGCCATCGGGAGGGCGTGTGCAGTCCTCGCCGCAGTAAACACGGGACGTGAATGGGATCTGGTGTTCAGATACAGCACTTGGTGTTGTGTATACTTCAGGGGCTCGTTGTGTATAGCTCAGTGGCACAGGTCCTGCCTGGCAAGCACGAGGCCCTGAGTTCGATTCCCAGTATAGAAAAAAAAGCCAAGTACAACACTTACATTCTCAATTACTTGAATAAATAATACATAGCATTTGCTCAAGATAAAACATAGTTGTCAAAGTTAATTTTTTTTCAAAGTTAAATGTTGTATTAAAACCTTGCGGAGCCTGATGGCACCCACCTGTAATCCTAGCACTCAAAACTGAGGCAAGAAGGTTGCTGCAAGTTTGAGGCCAGGCTAGTTTACATAGTGAGAGCCTGTCTCAAGAACAAAACCCAGAAAACAAAACAACCCTCAGAATAAGGTGGATTTGTTGACGCATACCTCATAATCTCAGCACTTGTGGTGGGGCAGAAAGATCAGAAGTTTGAGCCTAGTCTGAGCAATATTATGATTTGGACTCTCGTCTCAAAAAAAAAAAAAAACAAATTTACATACATACATACATGGGTTGTGTTTTGTTTTTTTTGTTTGTTTGAAACAAAGTCTCGGTATGTAGATCAGGTTGGCCTCAAACTCACAGTGATCCTCCTGCCTCAGGCTCCCGAGTGCTGAGTGCTGGGATTACAGGTGTGCCACTGCGCCTTGCTATATATGGGTTATGGATGTAGCTCAGTGCAGAGGCCCTGGATTCAATTCACCATACTGGAAATTTTTTAAAAAGGAGCATGTACCTAGCAGGCACAGGCCACTGAGTGCAGTCCTCAGAAGCAAAAAGGAAAAACAGTATTAAAAAAGACTACACTGATCAAAAAGGTCCTGCGTATTGTTAAATGGTGCTCCATGTCTTTAGAAAGCTGTACACGTACAAAAGGTTGCGTATTTACTTACAGAGTAACGCTGGAGGCTGGGACTGTGGCTCTATGCGGAGTGCTTTCCTAGAGGCACCAGGCCTCGGATTTGGTCCCCAGGAACCCCCTCGAAAAAGTGATGCCAGGGGAACACAGACACTAAACAATCAGGCAGGCATGGTGGCTTACACCTGATTTCCGGTACTAGGGAGGCTGAGGCAGGAGGATCGCTGTGAGTTCAAGGCTAGCCTGGGGTACATAGCAAGACCTTGTCTCAAAAAATCAGTCAATCAGGCTTTTCTTTTCATTCTGTCTGTCTTCAGATTTTGAACTGAACCCAGGGGTGCTCTAACTGAGCTGTCCCCCCAGCCCTCTTTTTGTTTCAAGACTGGATTTTTCGTGCTAAGTGTCTAGGCCAGGCTCTTAACTCACAGACCTCTGTCTCAGCCTCCCGGAGGGCTGGCTCACAGGTGTGCAGCACCATACCCGGCTAAATTAATCAGTTTTTAAAAGGCAAAGACATTTTAACTTTTAGAATTGCAGACTTTAAGAATAATGATGTTACCACTTTTGGGAGGCTCTTGGGGGAATAATTATACTGTGCACAGCACTAAAAGTTGGTACAACCTTTGGGAGCTTTAGAAGTTGTTCCTGTGTATTATAAAATGAAAAATAAAATTCAGAAGCATTATAGTATGTACATAGAAGTAATGTATGAGCCATTAACCCAGATTTTGTTTGGGTAGAATTAAGGGGTCAACTTTCTATGTCACTTGTTGCTACAGTGCTTAAAAATTTATAATTAAAATCTGTTACTTTTACAAGTAGAAAAAATAACATTTAAAAAGGCAATTTCACAATTTTTTTTTACAGGTGATTACATGCTTGATGCAAAGCCAAAAGAAATTTCAGAAATTCAGCGTTTAAATTATGAACAGGTAATAGACACAATTTTTATTACATTAAAATAAATAATTGCTGTGTTAATGTATACATTTTTCTCTCTCAGTGGCTTTAAAACTTTTTTTTTGGCGGGGGGGGAAGGAAGCAGGATTTGAGACAGGGTCTTGCTGTGTGCTTCATACTGGCCTTGAACTCTGTGCAGCCCAGGCTGATCTGGAATTTACAGCAATCCATCCCCCTGCCTCAGCCTCTCGAGTGCTAGGATTACAGGTGTGCACCACCACACCCTGCTAAACTTTTTCTATAAAGGACTCAACAGTAAATATTTCAGTTTTTGCAAGTCACATGTTGTTAGTGTCTGTTGCGTATTCTTTGGGGTTGGTTGGTTTGTTTTCTGAGACAGGGTCTTACTCTGTAGACTGGCCTTGAAGTCACTATGTATCCCAAGCTGTCCTAGAACTTGTGGCGACCCTCCTGCCTCAGCCTCCCAGTGCTGGGATTACAGGTGTGCGCCATCACTTGCCACACAAGCCAGACTTCTGAATTTCTGTTCTCTATGAATACTTGTGCTATTTAGGATGATATGTATGATTAGATAGCATTCTATAGCTCTTCCCTTCTTTTCTCCTCCTGTCCCTCCCTCTATCCCTCCCTCTCTCGCCCTCCCTTCTGTTAGCTGTTTTAGGTCCAGTGAATTCACTGCAAAGTCAAGCATGGATAGAGCAGAGAATTACATTCTTCCATCCTCCCCAGTCACAGCCTCCCGAGCTGCTGACCAGTGAGCAGCGGCCCACACGGACAGGTCACTGTCGCCCAAGTGCACGGGGTGCGTTAGGGTCCATTCTCACTGCTGCACGTCCTGCAGATGGGGTGTCATGGCAGGAACTTACGCCTCATCCCGAGTAACTCCCCTGCCCCGGCCTCAGCCCTGCCCTGCTTGTCCCCACCCCGCCCCGGTCCCGGCAAATATGCACCTTTATTGTCCCGAGTTTTGCCCTGTCCTGCGTGTTGTGGAATTACACAGGCTGTAGCCTCCATTCTCTTCGTTTCCTCCGTTTTCCGTAGCTTGAAAACTCATTTCTGTTTTAACAAACTTACATAATACGCCGCATTTCCTACTGAGCTTTCCCTGGGACTGGAGGTGAAGACAGGAGCACTCCAGCACGGAGCTCTGCCCAGCGCTTCCGTCGTGCGTTTGACACAGTCCTGCTCAGCCTCCCAGACCGACCTCAGCTCTGCGACCCTCCCGTCCTAGGCCCCTCGTGCCTGGGCGGGCCTGCGTGTGCCTCCGCACCTGGCTGCCTGATCTTTTCTCTTTTTGGGGTGGGCACTAGGGATTGAACTCAGGGCCTTCACACCGAGTTACATCTCCAGCTCCTTTTTGTTTTTCACTTGGGGTGCAGTCTTGGTAAGCTGCCCGGGCTAGGTTCATTTGCAGTCTCCTTGCCTCGGGCTGCCAGCTGCTGGGATGACAGGCACGCACCACCACTCTCTCTGTCTCTCTCTCGCTCTCTTTGAGACAGGGTCTCACTATGCAGTTCAGGCTGGCCTTGAACTCACTTTGTAGCCCAGGCGGGCCTTGAACTCACAGCAATCCTCCTGCCTCAGCCTCCTGAGTGCTGGGATTGCATCTAGCTCTCTCGATCATTTTTAATTGTGCCATTTCCTAGTGTTAACTATAGTCATGGTGCCATCTAACAGATCTCTAGAACTTCTGCACAACTTCTGCACATCTCTAGAACTTTTGCACTAACTGCAAAACTGAAATCTCGTGTCGAACAGCTCCTCCCTCTCTCTTACTCCTCTAAGCCCATGAACACCACCATTGTACTTTCTGTTCTGTGATTTTGACTGATGTCACTTAGCGTCCTGTCCTCAAGGTTCGGCCGTGTTGTAGCGTGTTACGGTTTCTCTTTTTCGATGCTGAGTAATACACCCCATTGTACGTGCATACAGGTGCTCATCTGGGCCCCTTGCACGGCTCCCCCCGGAGCAGGGTTTTACTCTAGCTCCAGCGGGTCTTGCACTTGTACCGAGCGCCCCGCCTCAGCCTCTGAGTGCAGGCGTTGCAGGCACACGGGCAGATGTAGAAACATACATCCTTCCAAGACCCTTCGTGCAGAGATTTTGAAAACAGAACCAGAAGTGGGCGCGGCCTTCCTCTCGGCTTCGGACTTCTCAGTCTAAAATAGATCCTCGTCTCTGCCACTGTGCACCCTATTCTGCTCAAGTTTTCACAGTAATGGTTCACTTGGTATGTTCATAGGTTTCTCCAGTTATGTGAGAACAAAGCCTTTGTTTTATTCACTGTGACATCTGTGAGACTCAGATTAGTGCCTGGCGCAGAGCAGATACTTAGTGATACAAACCTGTTGAAGAGATGAAATTGGATGACATTTTAATGTAAGAGACTGGTCTGGCTGTTGCCTGGGCTGGCCTGAAGCTCAAGTCATCCTCCCGCCTCAGCTTCCTGAGGAGCTGGGATGCAGGAGTGTGCCACTGCACCTGGCTTTTTCAGTCGCTCCTTGTCTCGGTTCCCTGAGCTAACCCCACCCTTTCATCTTCAGAACATGAGTGACGCCATGGCGATTCTGCACAAACTGCAAACAGGCCTGGACGTGAACGTGAAGTTCAGTGGCGTCCGAGTGTTTGAGTACACGCCGGAGTGCGTGGTGTTTGACCTGCTCGACATTCCTTTGTATCACGGGTGGCTGGTGGATCCCCAGGTGAGTAGAATTTAAGTTACATAGACACAAATGCAAGAAAGTATACGAATTCACAAATTCAGCTAAATTTATATTTTCTGATACTTCTGTTTGTGTGCCTTGACCTGGAGTTTAGCCAAACCATGATGCTGAGAGCAGTCTTCTAGTCTCCCATGTCTGCCCCGTATTTCTGCAAGGAGTAAGGGTCCAAGTAGAAAGTTAGACAGAGTCCGCAGGAAACTACGCTCACTTTCCACACCAGCTGCTGGTTCAAAGGTTTCCTAAAACTGCCTCGGTCCTTTTACATTTAGAAAGCCTTCCAGAATCCAGCAGAGCCTGTCATAATCGTCACTATAGTTTATCTTAGGAAAAAGATGCAAGTTACGATTAACCAAGGGATGTCAGGGAGGTCCCACAGGGCAAGCTGTGGGGTCCTGAAGCCGTGTCACCTTCTTGGAATTGGTGTTTGACCCATGCCCAGAGGTTGCCAGTTCACGCACTTAGCTTTCAGTGTTCAGCTTTTTGGTTTTTATTCTGTATTAGGCATGGAACCTAGTGCCTTTGCACTAAGCTGTATCCCCAGCCCGTTGTACTTTTTATTCTGAGATGTGGTCCTGCTGAGGTGCCCAGGCTGCAGAGATTACAGGTGGAGGCCAGCAGACCTGACCACTACATAGCTTTTGAGTCACCCTGTCATTTATTTATAAAGCACTGCCAGATCCTCGTCACGGTGCTTGTGCATTTCTAAACATACAGTGAGCCCCGGTGTTTCCCAGTCCAGCATTATAGATTTTGCCTGTTGCAGAAACCAAGAGCCCTGGCCTACAGTAGACGACATACCCAAGGGTAATGAACGGAAGTTTGAGGAAGAGACTGTCTTACAGAGGCCTGGGCAGAATTCACGGAAAGAAGGCAGGGATGGTGAAGCATCCCACCATTAGCAACAGCCCGAAACTACTGCTGTTAACTCTGCGAGACAGGCAGATCAGCAGTGCGTAGAGCCCAGCGAGACCCGTGGGAGTGGGCCGGGAGCTGCGGCCCGCAGAGGAGAGTGCGAGCGGCTCCTGCCCTGACTCCTCGCACGCTCTGATGGCCGCAGCGCTCACCACGGCCGAGGCAGCCTGAGTCCCAGCCTCACGTCCTCGTGCCCAGCTGCCTCCCAAAAGCCCCACCTGTGCCCGCGTGAAGCTTTGGGGCCTTAGACACAAGTGGTAGCATCTGCCTTCACGCTTTTCTTAATCCCCGGCCACCACTAATCTTTGCTTTGCTTTAAAAAAATTAAATTAGTGCGGTCTCACTCGTAGCAAAAGTAGGAATTCCAGTTGCTCCAGGCCGCAGGGAGGACCTCCTCCCTACATGGAGAGTGGGCTGGAAAGGTGGACAGGGATGGTCCCTTCTCAGGCACTGCCTCTGCTGTGCAGGCTGGCCTGTGTTCCATTCCTGTCCTGTCCGCTCCTGTATGTGTCAGTGTTGTAGCTCACGTATACGCATTTTAAAGTAAAGTAAAATAAAACTTTCAAAGTATTACTTATTTGTAGTGTTTAAAAGTAAAAAAAGGACACCAATTAACTGCTCTCAAATTTACTGTTTTATGGCATGAGATGAAGAATTACTTTTTAAAAGAAAAAAACATTGTGGGTGCACGTGCAGTTTTAAGAGGCAGTACACAGCAGTGCATTATACCTTCTGTTCACTCACCCCAAAGGGTGACACTTTGCAGATCCCGCGCAGTGGTTGGGAGGGCCGAGGCGGAGGAGGGGAGGCCGGCGTGCACTGCAGTCGGGCCGGGAGCCGTGGTGTGCGCCGCACAGCGTGGTGATGGCGGCGGGGTGTACTGGGCAGCTCAGAAGCGGGGCTGGGCCGGCATTTTTTGTCATTGAAAAATATGTCTCGGGAGGTAGATGTGGTTAACCTGATTTAAACACTGTCAGCATATGCACATATTGACTATTATATGCTATCCTGTGAATATTTGCAACTGTGTTAGTTAAAAGTAAATTTAAAAAAGGAAAGTGTGAGCAATTAGACTAAGAGTAACTGAAACTAAATACTCTTCTATCTGAAAAGAATGACCTGGGGCTGAGCTGCTTGGTGGGAGAGCACTTGCCTAATGTGTGCCGTGCCCTGGGTTTGATGGCCTGCAGCACACACACAAGGACAACGAAGACCGTGATTCTGAGGCTGAGTGAAAACAGAGACTTTGCAGATGGAACACTTTGCTGTGTGTGTGTAGATAGATAGATAGATAGAGTTACACAGAAAGATCCCAAGGAAAAAGAGAGATGCCATGCAGGTACTAATCAAAAGGTAACGGGTATGATGATACCTAGTACTAGAAAGAATGGACTTTAGGTCGAAAGGCATTACTAACGATGGAGTGTTGCATTCCCCAGGAAGACAGTTTAAGTTTGAATATGCCGAGACACATGGGGAAGTAGACGCCCTGACGGACCCTTCATCCCTTGGAGCCAAAGGCGCCGCCATGACAGAAAAAGATGAGCTTTGACCCTGAGAAACGTAGTTTGTGTGCGTCCAGCAGCGTAACTGCAACCACAGAGGCACAGCAGGTGCCATGAGACTCAGCGTAATCCCACCTGCTCCTCAGGAGGCTGAGGCAGGAGGGTTGAGAGTTAGAGGCCAGCCTGGACAACTTCACAGCTTGACAAGGAGATGGAATTCAATATGAAGGCCCAGTACCACAAAAAGAAAGGAGGGAGGGAGGGAGAGGGGAAGGGAGGTGGATTGGCCCGTCAGTCTGGAGTGTGTATAAATAGACCATCATAAGTACAGACAAGCGTATTGTCTGGGAAGGGAAGCGGGGGAGTCTGGAGTGTGTCCCTACGTATGATCATCAGCACCTTTTAAAAAGGCAAAAATCAACAGAATTAGATTGTCAGTGCAAAATCTTAATTACTTTTTCTCTGTAAGAGAAAAAATAGAAAACTTAGGATACATTCTTTAAATTTTTTTTATTTGGGAATAATTTTAGATTTACAGGAAAGCTACAGAGATACCACAGAGAATTCCCTGTACTCTGCACCCATTCTCCCTTGTATTAGCATCTTACATGCCTTGTACGTGCATCAGAACTAAGAAACTTTTTAAAACTTAAGAAATTTAGTATCAGTACATTACTGTTACCTGAATTAGTCCTCACTTCCAGTTTCAGGTATTTTTCTCTAATTTTTGAAAGTCTTATTCCAAAATCCAGGGTCTCACCTTGTCCTTAGTCATGTTGTCCTCCTGCTCCCCTCTAGTCAGTGACACTGTGTGTCTTTCCTTGCGTTTCGTAATCCAGACTATGTATTGTTTTCGGGCCTCAGAACAGTTACAAAATTGATCTAATACTATGCTATAAAGCAAATTTCAACAAGTTTCTGTAACACACAGAATATGGGATAGTCTCTGAGTACAGTGTAATTAACCTAGACAGCAGTGGAGCTGGGCGTGGTGGTGCACACCTGTAATCCCAGCACTCAGGAGGCTGAGGCAGGATGATCGATAGAAGCTTGAGGCCAGCCTGGGCTACAAAGTGAGTTCAAGACCAGCCTGAACTGTGTAGTGAAACCCTGTCTTAAAAAGACGGGGAAAAAAAAAAAAGCAGTAAAAAGAAATAATTAGAAAGTCTTTGGGCCAAGAAAATCATAATGAAACTTAGGATATATTTTAAGCTGCATAATAAAATCCATGACAGTAGTTGTGAGAAACAACTAAGATAGTTTTTAGGTGAAGTTTTAAGCCTTAAAGGAAAATTATAAAAGTTGATGAATTTTATATCCACCCACGCACCTCCGGTGCTGGGGGTTTAATCTGGAGCATTTGCACTGAGCTACATCCCCAGCCCTTTTTAACCTTTTCTCCAGAGAAGTTACCACTAAATTGCTGGATTGTCCAGGCTAGACTTAAATTAGACACCTCTCTCCCTCCGCCACCCAGAGAGCTGGGATTACAGGTAGGAGTCACCAAACCCAGCACTACATACCCATCTTAATAAAGAATAGCAAGTGTAATCCAGCACTCAGGAGATTGAGATAGGAGGATCGCTGTGAGCTCGAGGCCTGCCCCGGCTATTGTGAGTTCAAGATCAGACTGAGCTACATAGTGAGACCCTGTCTCAAAAACCTAAGTACTTGAGCATCATAATGCACACCTATAATCCCAGCCCTCGGGAGGCTGAGGAGGATTGTCACAAGTTTGAGTTCAGTTTAAGGCCAGCCTGAGCTACATAGCAAGGCCCTGTCTCAGAAACAAAAAGAAAAAAGGAGCAGTAACAAAGCTAAAATTCTCAAAAATGAGTTTTAAATGACAGAAAATAAAATATTTATGTAGCGTAAGTTCTTAGGAATAAATTTGACAGAAAGGTACAGAGGACCTCTAGGGGAATAATTTTTATTTTTAACTTAATGTTATATATGCAACGAAGGGTCTTGCTGTGTTGTCCAGGCTGGCCCTGAACTCCTGGGCTCAAGCAATCCTCCAGGTAGGTGTGACTACAGGCATACACTACTTTTTGTTTTCTTTTTGAAACAGGGTCTCGCTGTGCATTTCAGGCCGGCCTTGAGCTCACTTTGTAGCCCAGGCTGGTCTTGAACTTGAACTTGCGAGTTCTGCCTCAGCCTCCTGAGTGCGGGGATTACAGGTGTGCACCGCCACGCTCAGCTTAGGTGTATACTACTGAACTTGGCTTTGGGAACAATTTTATTTTGTTTTGAAGAAAAACAAAAGTTTTTCCTCTGGTACCAGGAATCGAACTCATACCTTGTGCTTGCCAGGCAGGTACTGTGCCACTGAGCTAAATCCCCAGCCCCTTGGGAACAATTTTATAATTGAGAGAAAATAGAGATTCGTGTCAATGGAGAGATATGCTATGTTCTTAGCTTTCAAAACCAGAATTATAAAGATTTCACTTTTCCCAAAAGTAGGCTGTAATATCAATACAATTGAAAACAAAGCCCCAGCAAATGTGGTGGGAACTGTGGAGTGTGACGGGCTGTTTCTGGACTCATAGAGGTGGAAGGGCCAGGAGTAAAAGCTAAGACCCTCCGTCTGCTGGAGGAAGCCTGAAGCAGTCTCACGTCCAGCCTGGGCTGACTTCAGACCTGCTCCGTAGCCAGGCCTTTTGCACTCAGCTACATTCCCAGCCCTTTTTAAATTTTGAGGTTGGGTCTGAGTCACTAAGTTGCCCAGTCTGGCCTCAGACTTGGAGCCCTCTTGTCTCAGTCTCCTGAGTGATAAGAGTGCAGGTGTGTGCCACCACGTCCTGCAGGCCCGCGTACTCTTAAAGCAGAGCACGTAGGGAGGACGCGCTTCTCCAGGTAGGAAGTACTTTAAATATTGCAGTAAGCATCAGACGGCGGAGAGAAAGCAGAAACCCGAAAGACGGTGCTGATAGAGACAGAGATGGGGCGCTGTAGAGCAAGGAGTGAAAGCGGGCCCTACACTAAAAGCTGCGAAGACAGACAGACAGCTGTGGAGGCAAAAAAGGGAAATTATTTGCCCCTCACACCGTAAAATGCTGCTCTGTGTACACTAAAGCTTAACTGTGAAATACGTAAATGCAAAAGCTTGAGACTGTCTTCCTGATCTTAAAACAGGAATTCCCAAAACAATATACATACACCCATTAGGAACCATAAAGGAAACACCAGTAAACATGACTACCATAAAATTGAGGACTTACGTTTATCTAAAATACACCAGTGGCACACACCTGTAACCCCAGCACTCAAGAAGACAAGGCAGGAGGGTCACCGTGAGTTTGAGGCCAGCCTGGGCTATGCTGAAAGTTAAGACCGTCTTGCACTACAGAATGAGACCCTGTCTCAAAAAAAACAGAAAGTAAAATCAAATAAAAATAAGGACATTCCAAAGAGGATGTAAAAAAGCAAGCCATAGAGTATGTGATGCTGTTTATAACAGAAGATCAATGTGTAGAAGGTATGACGAACTCCCCCAAGTAATTTTTATAAGATAGACAACCCAATAAAAACAAAGTGTAAATGATGGGAACCCCAGGTGTGGCAGTACACCCCTGTTATCCCAGCACTTGGGAGGCTGAGTCAGGATTGCTGCAAGTTCAAGGCCAGCCTGGGCTACATAGTGAGATCCTCTCTCACAAAAACAAACAAAGCATAGAAGTGTAACATGAAATGTTGAAGATGTACAGCATAGGGAATTCTCACTCTCTACTGCTGAGAGTAGAAATGGGCCATCTCCTTTGGAGTAGTTTATCTACTAAAGTTGAGAACAAATATAACTTAAGACTTAGCAATATAACAAGGCATGTACCCTAGAGAAACTCTCGGTGTGTGAATAAGGTGAATGTACAAGAATGTTTATAGCAAAATTTGCCATTGCTCCAAACTACGGACAGCTCAGACAGTTATCAAAAGATGAATGAAGCAGGGTGTGGGGGCACATGTTGGTAATCTTAGCTATTTGGGAGGCTGAGGCAGGAGGATCACCATGATTTCAAGTCTAGCCTGAACTACTTAGCAAGACCTTCACTCAGCGAACCAAAAATAATAATAATAACCTTTAAAAAGTTTCTTGTAATTTCATTCCATTATTTTTTGCATAATTGAAATACAGCTATCTGCACTATAAACAAAGTTGAAAACGGTGAGGTGCTGCTTTTCCTGGTGACGTTTTCACGGGTGATGCTTTGGCGTTTAGTGTTGCATTAGGGTAAAGCCCTAGAGCACTGGGTGTTGCCGTGGCTATCGTTTGTGCTCTCTCGCTCCTTCTCAGACCGATGACGCTGTGAAGGCGGTGGGCAACTGCAGCTACAACCAGCTGGTGGAGAAGATCATCCTCTGCAAGCAGTCGGACGACAGCCAGCTGGCCAGCGAAGGTGCGTGCTGCTGCAGCCCTCTCCCCGCGGCCGCGCCGTGTGTCTCCCCTGTGGTCGCTTTGTGTTGCCAATGAAGACGTCTGACAATACAGAGAAAGCTACGTGGGGGCGTTCAGAAAGCAGGTCTTCCAGAAGTGCCCGTGGGAGGCTTGTCCCAAAGCCCTTCCCTCTGGATTTGCAGGGCGGGGTCTGGATGCTGAGAGCAGTCCTGGGAGTCGTCGGAGTCACACTGAGAGGTCACTGGTAACCACTGTTCTAGAAACATAACTCACTTGGGAGTGCTGAGTGGGTTTCATAATTTCTCCTCCACACTTCCGTTGGCAGAATTGACTGCGGTGCTAACGCATTCTCTTTTTAGGAGGCCTCTGCCTTACGTTTCAGCTCAGTGCAACACACGCAAGCCCTGTCCGGGTCAGAGTGCGCCTCTGACCTGCCACGGTGGCGCACGCCTGTGATCCCAGCACTTGGGAGGCTGCGGCAGGAGGATCACTGAGAGTGTGAGACCAGCCTGGTCTGTATTGTAGCTCAAGGCCAGCCTGAACTGCAGAGTGAGACCGTGTCTCCAAAAACAAAACAAACAAAAACAGCGTGCCGCTGGTTTTTCAGAAGCTGAGAATACGAAGTTCTAAGCAAAAGCGGTTTACTACTTTTTCAGTCATGTTCTGTCAACCGTGGGAGAAGGAGATTTGCCCTGGAGGGCTACAGGGGACAGAGCATCTGGACACCCTTCCCACCACCTGCTCCACTTTTCATAGACACAGATTCTGAGGCTGCTGGCCTCTTTGCTTAGGAGGGTAAACGAGAAGGAGAGAGAGGAAAACAAATGTCATCCTTCTATCTCATGCGTGCATTCCTTTACACAAGGTATAATAAAAATCGATTACAGTTACTGCATTTAAAATAGTGCCTGACAGAATAGATGAGACTATGTGTACGTGAATCCCATCTTATTAATTATCTAGAAGTTTAACCCATGTATACAAAAGAGGGAAGCAGGAAATCACATAGTGTTTTAATTGAGGTTTATTCTGTCTGACTTGCAAAAAAGCACATAAACACACAGGGACCTTTTGTTTTTGTTTTTTGTGGTACTGGGATTGAACCCAGGGCTCTTGCGCTGAGCTGCATCCCAGCCATTGTTTATTTTTTATCTTGAGACAAGGTTTCACTGAGTCACTCAGTTCCCCAGGCTGACCTCAGACTTGGGATCCTCCTGCCCAGGCGTGGCAGAGTGCTGGGATTGCAGTTGTCGCCACCACACTGGGCTCCACACGGGGACACAGGCCGTTGAGTCGAATGACAATTCTGTCCCGTAATTTAAGGCAGCAGAGTTTACGTTTTTTGGAAGGAACAAAGCAAGAAAAGCATTTTTCTTTTGATCTTTTTTTTCTTTTTGACATAGTCAGCTTTGTAGTTCAGGCAGACCCCGAGCTCACTCTGCAGCCCGGGCTGGTGTCAGATTCACTGTGCTCCTGTTTCAGCCTCCCGAGTGCTGGAATTATAGATGGGACCTCCACACCCAGCAGGAAATGCAGTGGCACACGTCTGTAATCCCAGCACTTTGGAGGCTGAGGCAGGAGGATCACGGTGAGTTTGAGGCCAGCCTGGGCTACACAGTGAGTTTAAGAGCATCCTGGACTACATAGCCAGACTGCCTCAAAATTTTTTTTCTTTTTTCTTTCAGGGTACAGAGTCCTCTTGTATTCAGGAAAACTATGCATTTCTGTCTGTACTGTCAGTACCATCAATATAATCCTTTAACAAACCTATACAGAAGACTTCTGTGAAATCTGCTTTCTCAGGAATGTCCAATATACCGTTACTATATTCAGTAGTAGTTGAAGGAGCAGTAAGATTCAGAAAGTGGTAACAGAATGCTAGCCCAGGGAGAGACACTGGGTGAACAGACGGGCGGATGAGGAGCCACTGCAGTACTGTGAGAGCCCCTCGCCCGGGCCGGAGGCAGTCAGCCCGCGCTCATGGCATCAGCGTGAACCGCGGGTCACTTGGTCTGTCTGCCGCTGCTTCCTCCTAGCTTGAGGCCGGGAGTGTTCTTCCCAAGGTGCTGTCGGACTGGCACGTGGGGAATGGCGTTGTGCGAAAGCAAGGCGCGCCCCTTTGAGAGGATGCAGCGTTTAAGCGATAGCTACCAGGTGCTGCGTTGCTGAACTCCACAGCAGCACTCTGCATTTTGGGTTTTTAGATTCAGGAGCGACTGTATGTGGAATTTGATACAGTTAGAGAACTGAACTAGCGTTTTCATTAGAGACATTGTAAATATGTAGTCAGTCTGAGGTCGTTACTCAGTGCCAGTGGTTACTTGTACAGGACACGGTGAGACTGAAATTGTGTCAGGAGAAGGCCACGCGGGCATTTTTACTTAGGTGGTAGCAAGTAGCTTTCCTCACCATTCCGTTTGTCATATTTTCTTGGCCTCAGTGTTGAAGTAGTTTGCTTTCTTCTTCTGTTTAGCTTTCAGCTGCCTTTCCTGTGAGTCAGTAGATATCACAAGCTTGTGTCTAGCCTTAAAAGCGTTGGTCCTTAAAGGTAACTGCTTTCCAAAATGCAAGCATTTCATTTGACATCAAGGTACAGAGTGTAAGAAGTGCTTTTATGAGCGTTCTTTTTTGAGGAGGAAGAAATGTTTAGCTAATGGTCAAATAGAAATAAGGATTCCTTAAACTTCCTTCAGATAGTGTTCGTTTTCTTTTGAGGGCGATACCTGGTAAGTAACAGCACGGAGCTTCCACTTGTACGTAGAGTGCCTGGTACTTGCCCCTCTTCTGATGCAGTTTTTAATCTGGTTATAACAGCAGCTTGTGGCATGGCGGCAAAAGTCGGTAAGAAAAACAAAACACAGGCCAGTCGCCGCTGCCAGGCTTCCCCGGAGCCGGTGCTTTCACTGCAGCTGCTGTGTCAGGAGTGCCTGCCTCACAACTATTCGTGCGACAGAAATCTCTGTACAAATAATTCTAGGGTATTTATCAACCTATTCAGATATTTATTAATGCTGCATTATGTGCTATAAACTCTCAATATGGTCATTTAAATACACATTATTTTTATCAAATACTATTAATTTCCTTTTCTTTTTTCAACCTTTCATTTTGAGAAATCTCAGACCCATGAAAGTGTTTTAATAGCACAGAGAACATTTACTTGTTTAATTAAATTCACTAATTAACAGTAAATATTTGCGTATTTTTTGTGTTTTTGTTGTTGGTTTCATGATTGGTTGGGTTTTGGGGGTTGATAGATACTAGGGGGTAAGCCCAGGGCCTTGGAGCTGAGCTACATCCCCAGACTCCCTTTTGATGATGTTGTTGCTGTTTATTTGGTTTAGTTTGGTTTGGTTTTGGGTCTTGCTGAATTGCCCAGGCAGAGCTCAGATTTATAGTCCTGCCTCAGCCTCCCAGAGTGGTAGAGTGCAGGCATACGTCACCACACTCAGCTCTCTGCTGTTTTCGGTGTTCCTACACATACTTGCTTTCTCTAAAGTAACTTGAGAGTTAGCTGCACATATCATAACACTACCCATAAATAATTTATCATTTGTAATAAATGATACCCATAAATAATTCATCTTAGAAAAAGAAATTCTCCTGTATAGTTACAGTGTAATTATCTGAGGCAATTTAGCATGGATCGAATATTATTAATAAACTGGTAATGTTCAGAATGCTATAGTTTTTCCAATAATGCCCCTTAAAGCTTTCACTGTTTTTGATGTGCCCTATTTGAGGATCGTCTCGTAGTCATATTTCTATGGTCTTGTGTAGTGTAGAACAGATCTCTGATGCTTTTCCTTTCTTACTGCTTTAAAAAAATTCTTTTGTGACATGGCTTACTTTTAATAGTTCAGGCTCTTTTATAGAACAGCTCTCAGTATGGGTTTCTCTGATTATTTCTTCATGAGCAGATTCAGTTAAATATTTTTGGTAGGGTTGCTGCGTGGATGAGACCGTGCTCTTCCTAGCGCACCAGATCAGGGGTGCGTGAGGCCCGTTGTCCCGTTATTGGTGATATTTAAATTTGATCAAGGCAGTACCTGCCAGATTTTTTTTATTGTAATGATACTCTTTCATTTTTGTAATTAATAAGTAGTCTGTTAGGGTTTTGTTGTTTTTTTTTTTTTTTTTTGAGTCAGTTTTTTGCTCTGTAATTCAGGCTGCTCTTAAACTCACTGTGTAGCCCAGGATGGCCTTGAATTTGAACAATCCTCCTGTCTCAGCCTCCTGAGTGCT